ATTATCCGCGTCGCGACGCCCTAGTTGCGATAATCGAGCCGACGCTTGCTGCTGCGCTCGCTTTACCACGTTCGAAATTTCTCTGAAAAATTTCGAAATTATCGCGCGCTAGGATAATTACGCGCGGAATGTCACATTGGTAATGGATATCCTTTCGAGACAAAAAATATTGGCGGTCGTATTAACAGAAATAGCGAATTTATGACCGAAAACGTTAATTGTGATGAAATCGTATTACGCTAAAAATTATAAGGAAATCCTTGAATTAAATTTTCAAAGCGTAATTAAAAGAACATTATTTCACGCGCTAAACATCTGCATTAATATCTGAAGCAGACTACTTGCGCTACTTTTTTCTTTGGCGACGGTCTTCCTCGTTAATTGCATGTACCCACAATACATGCGTTTGTTAGAGATATACTGAATAACTAGAATTAACTAGAATTAACCAACACGTACATATTGCACTCACCGTTCAAATGTCCTTCGACCCGTTTCCTTCCTCCTTTCTCTCCCACCCTCCTCTCTCTATCTCTCTCTCTCTCCCTGTCTCTTACTCTCTCGCTGAGGAATTCTCAAAGGACCCTTTAGGGTATTCCCTCACTTACGCAATGCAGAGTTATCTCTCGAAGTACCAAGCACTCCCGAGTGATAACTTCTGCTGCGGCTAACACACACGGTAAAACAAATCATTATATATTGGATTCGATAATCAATGTCTATATTGAACTCGTCAACACAATTGCCTTTTTCAACTCTGTATTAATTGTTGTTTTAATTGCTTTTCGGCAAATAATAAAGCTCTTGAAATATTCTTTTATCACACATTGCATGGTAAATACCAAGTATATAACTTCAAGCTTTGCGAAAAGATCTGTGAGTTATTACTGCAAACAAGTAGTTTCAACAGAGGATACAACATGGCAGTTGGGTCTGCTTGGTTATATAGATGTTCTACTTGCGGTTAACCCATCACTCGTCGTGAATGAGGGAACCCCCAAGGTTCCTCGATGTTTTATGACTGATCCACCACTTATGATTCAGTGTGGGCCTTAATTACATATCTGTCAAAATACAACGGAGAATAGCGTGACTTGTACAGGGTGTTCAGTAAATCGTGGCTGCAGGGAAATAATTCCCGCGGTGAAGAAACAAATAAATAAAACTAAACTTTTTTTATTTGTATAGCTAGCAAGAAAAATAGTTTTGAATACGGAAGCAGTGTAGAGTAGTTTTTGTAAAACGATTCGATCGGCTTTTATGGATAGTTTTGATAAAAAAAAAGTTTGTCCATTAACTGACCTCGGCGAATATTTTTGTTAAAAAATAACTAAAATTTTAGGATTTTGTTTTATTTGCAGTTTTTAACTTCTGCAAATGCGCAAAACAAACGAGTAAAAACTATATTATTGGCGCTAGTCTTAGTTTTTATATTAAAATACTAATATATTTTTCAAAAAAAAATATTGTGCGGTTATTATTGCTGATATTATTTTTAAAGTTGACTGTAGCTCTGCAATGGAACATATGTTTTTTTAAACGCGGGAATACAGAGTAGATCCGGAGTATCGAAAACCACTGTTAACTCAATTTGGCAAAAAATGTGACTGATGTCTCTTTCAAAACAAACGATTCAATTGTTTATACAAATCACGTGGAGGATGCAGTCCGAATGCAGCATGATAGATACCAAACTGGATCCGGCACCGAAAAACAAGCGACTTTTGTTGCTGCCGGCGCTATTGATGTTTGGTATATCGCATGCATTGCTCGTTTTTCATTAAGCACCCTCCTTCCCCCGAGAGATACCTCAAAGAATGGTTAATCTGCGATAACAAAGAAACTTCACAAAATTCCACTCTTTTATGTTTTTTTTTTTTTTTTGTTTGTTTTTTTTTGTTATAACAATTATATTCTAATATAGAAATTACACAATAGAAAAGAAAGAAGTGTGAAAAAGATATAGAGTTCTATACATCCTATTGGAAAAATATATCTGCACGGAGAAAATTTTATATAAAAAATTACTATGTACGGCAATAGCCGCGGACTACAAAGGAATTATAAAATTCTTTTATTATGTTTCTCACATACTTAATGATCATAGTATTTAAACTTATAATTCCTCTTATGATCCTCGGCTACTGCCGTATCATAATAAGGTTTGATATAAAATTTTCTTCGTATGTCAATGTAAAAATATAAGATGACAATAATTTCAGATAAAACGCGCTATAATAGTAAAGAGCATTTTTCACTAGACAAACTCAATGGTGCAGCTTAACAGACATTTTTACTCTGGCAAACCCTGCATATATATAATAAAGTTAACACAATATGATATAAGTTAAGTATGATATAATTAATTAAAAAGTACATTCTATTTAACACCGCGAACAACCTAGGCGATTTAAACAATTTTATGAAATGAAATAAAATTTCTTCTCTCCGTGAACAATTATGACAATTAAATAGCACGCGAGTGATAAAATGCAGAAATATATATACCGGTGGGGAGTTGTAAAACCAGAGCTCGTCGCCGTCGGCACGTACATCTCGGTTTTCATCATTTACGTTATCGCGACGTTCCTTTATAGCTCCATGAACAAGCGTGCGCCGCCCCATGATGGAGTATCGGATTTGTGTCTTACGTCGAGTAATCGCCGCGCGTATATAACCGCGTAATGCGCCAGCACGATGCCGCACTTTGTTCGTATCGATGCGTGTATATGTTTGCGACATAAATATTTCAGCTGTCGTTTCGCCCCTAGGTCCACTTATAGGAGGTATCGGAAAGTAATATCGTTTTCCCTCGCGTCCTAACTTCAACTGTTGTTTATCGTGCACTTAACGCCTCCAAAAATTAACTGAATGCAACTTTACAGGAATCAGACGTGTGTTATCCCTAGATCGATAATTATAATCTTCATTCCGTATTATCGCGATAAACTTTCTCTATGTGGATGTGGCATTACTAATCCAGAAATCAAATTAATCAAAGTAACATTTGCTTGCGTTATCGAGATGTCAGTATTAAGTTATACTGACGAATTGTACTAACGAATCAAAGCTTAGATATTTAATTAAAAAACAATTTATTTAATTTTAAAAAGAACTTTAATTATCAAGATGATTATATGTGGAATCTTCATATTAGAAATTAGAAAGAAAGAAAAATAAAACTGTCAGTACTCATTAAGGAAAAGAAGCATATCTGAACACTGAGGTATTTTTCACTCGAATAAAATTTCTAGCGCACGTTCTTTATGTTTCTCCAGAGAGCATATACATCATTCTTAGAGTGAGAACAAAAAACGAAACCCTTCTATCGCGCGTGCGTGTTACATGACATTTAAATCTGCTGAAATCTGCCCCAGTGTCCAGACGTGCTGCTTTCACTCCTATTTATCGCCTGACTCATAATCCCTGGCCAATAATTCCTCCAAATTTCCGACAAAATTACGACTTCCTTTCCTAACAAAATCACCCCTTCGCTCTCATAGGAGAGGAAAAGGGGGGGGGGTGCCTTCATTAACTTCTTTGGGGTAATCCATAGATTACGGACGCGCCTTATCCAGGTGAAACGTATGGACTGTTCGCGTGCGCCAGTACCTGAAGGGTGAAGTTGCCTGGGGGGGGAGTGGATGGGTGGGACGTCTCGGTATCGGAGGGTGGATCTATAGATCCGCCGCGTGGCGGCTGTCCCCCATGAATCACGGGGGCTATCTGCTGGAATACCAGCTGTATTTACAACAGCACGCCAGCGGCGGCCGGCCGCCTATATCTTTCTAATCAACTGTTTGTCTAATGTCTATGTAAATACGGTATGTTAATTATCCCGATGCGATGCTAACGTGCCACGCGGCTATTAATCTCGTCCTGTACGCGTTTCTTCCTCGCTGTTGTTGCACTTCCTGTCGGCGTGGACGTTCCAATTTCATGGTCGAAGCAATAAAGAGAATCAGATAGTTAAGTAAAAATAAAATTTTATTACACTTTGTTGAGAATACAATACGGTGAATGGCATTGTATAATCATTCCTTAAATATTTGTGATTAATATGCTAATTATATATGTTATAATAAATGTCAATTCTCTATTTGAAATACTAATAATATTCGACAATTATAAGTTACATATAAATTTTGGTCGAGAATGAAATCTCATTGAACTAATTAAAATCTCATTAAACATTTTAAACGTTTATTTTCAGACAGAGTAAATACACAAGATAAATTCATAATAGCTATTTTTTGTTTATCAAATGCAGAGTGTTCTGATTTTGAAAGTTTTGGTAACTGTTAATTTCATTAATGTATATAATTAAATCGTACATTTAATCAACGGGCGCATGAAATTTATTATTTTGTACGTCTCTTCTCTTCATTCATTACTTATAATTAGTTATCTGGTAACATTTGATAATATCGATAAGTGTTTTAATTCCATGTTGCAGCTGTCATATGATAACCATTTAGGCATGTATCGGTATCAGATTATGGTATCAAGCAACGTATATTTCGATCCCGCCGAACGCGACGGAATTTAACAATTGAATCGCGTTAGAATCGACGACGTGAATTGATCCCACTAGTAATTACGATCGTTTTGTAATTATATTATGATTGCATTTTGATCACACTGTGATTGCATTTCGGTTATATTGCAACATTGTTATAATTATACTGTAATATTTAAATGATATTCGTAATAGTTGTATAAGCATTCAAACATATTGTAGAGGGAAACGAAGATTGTGTTATAATTGTATCCCACTGTTTGGAAGAAATTATATAGTGAGTGTCCAGTAAATCAATTATCAATTCACCATTAATCAATTCGTTTCGATTTTCTACATACGTTTGCTGATCAGTTAAACGTATCGTGACAATTCAATTATTGATTAATGCATAATTATTTAGTAAATACATTAAGCGCCGTCTAATTAATAAGTATCTGGAGATTAACTAATGATGTATTTGGTAATTTTTGTGTGACAGGTCGGTGAGAACGGCGATCCCCGGTCGGCAACGTTTCCCGAGCAGCGAAAAAACCCTTGCCCCGCGCCCGCAACACCGAAAATGAGTAATTCCCAGGATTAATTACTGCCCGAAGTTTGAACGTGAGTCTCTTTACTGCATATTAGAAGAGGGGTTAGCGAAAGGGTGGAAGGGAGGGACGAGGGGGGGTGAAAGGTGGCACGAGCTGGCACGGTCTGAGTGCTTCTTTTTCGAGGGTGGAATGCGGTATTAGCGCTGTTTCGCCAAGGCAGCCTTCAATTTAACCCTCCTCCGTTTAAAGCGTAGGGAAGGGCGGCAGGTGGGTTACGCGCGGGCGGTTACGGCAAAGCGGAAGTACCAACCGACGCGAAACACAGAGGAAAAAATGGTTACAAAACGTAAACGAGCTTGTTGTTCCGATACTGTTACATTATGCGTCTCGTTATTGTTAAATTAAGAGGGAACGGAGGAGAAAATGTTGCATGAAGAGAATGTTTTCCGTTGCTTTATCGAGCGACATGTTTATTACGTTTGATCTCGAACTAAGTTTCTATTTATTAAATTTTTTAATCATTTTGAAGAGTTTAAATTATATTATTACAATAACGTATAAAGAAATATACGATCTCTCAGTTTGTAGAATTAATCATTTCAAAATTAGACTTTTTCTCTACAACGAAATGGTTTATTAAAAGAAATTTTTTTATCGCTGCTCATTACTAACGTTTTAAACAACGTTTTGAATAGTATTCAGAATCCAAGGAAGCTTAAAAGAACAAAGAATTCAATAGATGAAAGAGAATCTAGCTTTTCAAGATGTAAAGAACCCGGAGATGTGTGAAAATTCTAAGAATCTAGCAAACTATATAGCGAATTATATTCTGCGAAAATCTAACAACATATAAAGATCTAAAGGAACTCTAAGAACCTCTTCTCACCGCCACGGCCACTTGAACCTTAGGTGTCTATTAAGCACTGAAGTGCTTAACACTTCAATCTCAGCGAGCTTGCGGCCTATAAAAGCTTATTAAGGCAGTACGATAGTAAGTTTAGTTACGTATAAAGTGTTTCACATTGCCTATATCTTTTTCCATTCATAAATTCTTAGATAATTTTTTTTTCAAAATGATTGTTAAACAATTAATAGATTTTGGATTATAAAAAATCGACGATATATAGAATTCTCGGCAAATCTTTTCAATCATTTTAAATAATTTACAATTATTTAAAAGGTCTTTCACCGGTTTGGAGCCAGTTTTTTGTTAGTCATTTTTTTGTTTGGGCAAGCTTTTTTACAACTTTTTATTATTGGATATTGAGAATTTTTATAATTAAGCTTTTTAAATTAAAATTCTCCTAACTCTCTATTGTACCATGTTGCCTCCAGATAACAAAACGAACAAATATAATGAAACGTACTTTATAAACGTTATCTGACATTCTAGACATTCTTTCCATGATATGTAAAAATACGAATGTAATATTTCTACAGAAGAAGCGCACATGTTCCGTTTTGGATAAAAATTTGCAAATATTCGTGATGCCGCTCGATTCTCGACGAGAGAAAAAATTGAAATAGTTTATTTAATATTAAACGAAAATCAAAGATTGTATATTTTATTTACAATTCTAAAATTCAATTAGTCAAAACGTTTTACTTCTTACTGCTTATATAATATTCACATATTTATTATTAGCTTTATCTTCACAAATCATACTTCATTTGTTGAAAAAGTAAAATTTAGAAAAACATTTTCGCTTTACAACATCCCTAATATATTTAAAAATATATTTGAAGTATGTTAAAATTATCTAATTAACATATTGAATGCTACGAAAATTTTCATAATCTGGCCTTGGTATCACGCGATCACATTTTTATTCCCGATTTTTTAACTCTTTCGCTATTATCTCAAGATATCTAAAAAAAATATAGTATTATAAAAGAAAAAGAAACATTCATAAATTGCAATTATGTTTAATTACATATATAGGAAAACTATATCTAGATTTGCCAAATTTTCATAGAATGTTCACAGGAATTATACTACCATCTGTGTACGTATACGGGTAACCGCGATACTGATGTTTATCGATCCCACATACATACGGGTTAACAACGAGAGAGTTGGTCTTAATAAAACAATCTTAATAAATGCATACATATTCGTGTAGAACTACAAATAATTATTAATCAAGGACTAATTTTATGTTATTTTATGCCATGTATAATAATACTCTATAGAAACCGTATGGTATACACGTAAGTTAATATACTCACGAGTTAATATACACACAAGTTAATATACACATAATCAGATATTAGGAAATACGCGTGTATACTAAATCATACACATGGCATGTTGAGCCTATACAGCTGCGTATTGAATTTCATAAACAGAATTCAACGGGCTAAACATTCAAGTGCATATTCTAGTGCTCTTTACGGGCGCGTAGGATAAGAGTGAAAAGATGCGAAATTTTCGTCTCTAGTTTAATAATTTGCAGCCGGATGAAAAGCGAAGCGGACCAATGGATAATAATTTCGCGTTTGTCTCCAACTCAAGATATTATTTTTCACGCCACGACTCAATGTCGCGCAAAACGGCGGTGCGGCGCGTGCGAACTTTCGCGGGGCGCGTAAGCAGTTTTTCGAAATACATTCGTACTTGCTGGCGACGGTAAAACGCTGAGCGAAGATACGTCCACGCTTTATTATTCGTGCTCTGAAACTAAATTCGCGAAACGAGGATTTACTACGCCATTTCGTCGCGCACACGAAAACGTCGTATAAAAAGTTAGGCGCCGAAATACACACCGGTGAAATTCTCCGCGCGCGATACGTTGAGCGTCACGATCCTCATTCTTCTTCATGTGAATGGCGAAAAGCGCCAATTACCATTGTGCGTTATAATGAAAATTCTTACGCGAATTTCTAACTGCGATATAGTGCAAGAGTAAATCATTTCTCGTCATGTTTTAATAATGACAGCGAAAAATTTTTTTTCAATTTCATAAAACATAGTAGGTGTTTACTGGTATTTTCATAAAAATTATATTTTTTCATTTTTCTCAGAATACCCTTTTTAAAACTCGCCACCCTGCATACACAATTTTTGTCTGCATTATGTAAAAAATTAAAAAAAGAGCTTGAAATCAAGAACATTTTCCAGTTTCATATCCCGTATATTCATATCTCATTTTATACTGACATCTATTTTTCTCATGTTAATCTGATTCTTCCTAAGTATGGAATTTATATTACGAGCTGTTTCTGGAACTTATTCGACTTTAAAATCATACCAATGTACGAATTCTCCAATTTTACAACTATACGATGCAAATATTTCACGGACATAGTTATGAAATATATCATTTTAAAAAAGTCTATCACAGTGAAAGGTTATATCGCTGTAATGATCGATTGTCAGAAACCATTTGTTTTATAAAAGCTTTCGATAAAACTGAAACTTTTATTTCAACAAATTTTTTGCCATTTGCGTACACATTATTTGTATCAAAGTTATTGGTTAAATTTTAAAAATAGTGTAAATGATTTATTTTTGTTCTACTAATACATTTATAGAATAATCTAACTTTATCTTCGCGCATAATTCTAATTAGAGTTCAATATATACTTGTACATATCCCGTATATCCTCAAAATTTCTAATCGAAATAGGTTTCATCGATCGCACGAAATTACCGAAATATACACAATCGCAGACACTTCATTCACTTATCCTTAAATCTTTAAGCTCGCAAATAAGAATCGAGAAGATCGGAAATATCGAGGCAGGATAGCTCTAGGAACCGACAAACCAGGATCTTTTCAATTCGCGGTATAAATCAGTACGGATCCTTCCCGTGCTCTGATCATCGTGAGAAATGTCGTCCTGGTCATGAAAAAAAAATAGGGGAAAAAAACAGCGGAAAAAGGAGAGCAGGAAGGGACTCGAATCGGAGACTTCCGGCACGCGTCGGTCAGCGACATTGTTGGCGAATGATCGACGATCGCGAGCAGATAGAGGGAACGTAAGAAAGAATGGACTTCGAATTTTTTCGCGTCGCCCGGCCGCTGACAAATGATGCGCGAATCTGAAAACGCGATGGTGTCGCGACGCCATGCGTCATCGGCTGAGCAACAAGGTGTGCGGGTGCACCACCTCCCCCCCCCCTCCCCTCGGGATATGCTTTATAGCGCGATTTATCATATTCCACGCGCAGAATCCACCGACCCCGCGATTTCGCGACATAGAATTCACTCCGTACACTTCTACCGTATCCCACCCTTCGATCGTGACAAAGAAATCGAAATCTTTGGCCGATATCGTCGGAAATCAATGCACCAGAATCTCAAAAAAGTCAGTGAGCAATTTTTGATATCATTGAAACGAATATGTTTAAAAATGTTTTTGCTGGCAAGATTCTAAGATTCTTAGATTGAAAAGAAGAAAATAAGAAGAAAATCCGAAGCCACTTTTTACCAACGAATTTTCTCATCAATTTGAAGCCAATTTTCTTCCTCAGAAAATATTTAATATCTCAAGTGACAAACAATTGCATTTTGAAAAGATTTGACTTCTTCATTTTATCGTCAGAAGCGATAACAATATCTAATTACTTACGATGTATAAATAGACTTGATATCGTTAATTGTACATGATTTATTCGTTTTATTTGATTACTAAAATAGAGGAATGTGTCAAATTTTCCAATGCGAAAGCCAAGAAAATACTATTAACAATTAACCACGAATTTTTATCGAGAGCGTTACCGTTTATTCAACGTTTTTCGCCTCGCGATCTCTCCATATAATATTACACGAAGCGATGAAACCGGCCTTTTTTCAACCTTCTTCACTCTCGTCCCCGGAGAGCCCTCGTCTCCGAATTACCTTTATTCTCTCTCTTTAGCGCCGTCGGAGTCAGAATTTGGGTTTTGTCGTCGTCAGCCCTCAGCGCGGACCAGCGAGGAAGCGTATTTGCATAGTTATCTCGAGCGCGCAGAATCTGCGAGCGAACGAGCGAGCGGTCTCTCTGTTTTCGCAGGAAGATGATAATTTTTCCCCCGCGCCATTCACACACGCGTGTATGCACGTACTTTGGCGCATCGATACCCAC